AAAATGTCAATATTTCACAAGATATAAGGTCATTTCTTAATTATTGACATTTTTTAAGATATAAACTCATCCCGATGTTACTCATCGAGACCTTTCATTTGAGTACCCATATCAATTTTTCATATATTTATATATATGTATATATGAAAAATATATCACAAATGCATGTGGGTACTCAAATGAAAACTCTTGTTGAGTGTAACATCAGGATGCGCTTATATCTTTAAAAACGTCAATAGTTGAGAAAGTACAGTGCAATTTAACAAAAATAATTAAGAAATGGCCTTGTATCTTGTCAACTATTTACATTTTTAATGATATAAGCTCATTCCGATGTTACACTCATCAAGACCTTTCATTTGAGTACCCACATCAATTTTTCATATATTTTATATATTTATATATATATATTATATATATATATATATATATGTATATATGAGAAATATATTAAAAATGCATGTGGGTACTCAAATGAAAGTTCTTGATGTGTGTAACATCGGGATGAGCTTATATCTTTAAAAATGTCAATAGTCAAGAAAGTACAGTGCAATTTAACAAAACATTTTTATTTTATACTATGTAATTATTTCTTAAAATTTTTAATTAAAAAATGACAAATTAAAAATTACAGAACTATGTTGACCAAAATCCTCACTGGGAAACCGACTGGATGGCAGACCGCGAGAAGGCATTTTCCGACGAGCGTCAGAAGCAAATGCAATTAGAACTTCAAAAGCAAAAAGAAGACGAGCCTTCAGCAAAGCCCAAGAAGTCTAAAAAGTCCAAAAAGAACAAAAAAAAGTCCAAGAAGCGTAAGAACAAAAGCAGCAACAGCGAGTCTAGCAGCGACTCGGAGAACTCGTCAGACCAGGAGTCAGACCAGGACACATCCAAGAGCATCCGCGTGGCGATGCGTAACAAGATGAAGGCCTCGACCCAGGCAATCCTCAACGAGGAGATCGACTACCACGGAATAAAGTTAAAGGGCCACTGGTCCCAGGTCGCCGGGGCGAAGGATCCAGAAAACGACGACCGCGCGCTCCTGAATTCTATCCGCGACAAGCTGAAGGCCAAGCAGGAAGAAGAGATGAAGCGCCGGCCTGAAGTGATCGCGGTTTCAGATGGTCAAGAAATTAAGGAAGGCAACGGGTTCTCGGAGAAGCCGTCGGAGTCGACTTTGGAGGCCTGGGGGCCCAAAGAGCCGCCAAAGCCTTTTTGGATTAAAAAAGACGAGGACAAAGCCCAGCCGAGACAAGACCAAGGCAAGTCGGACATTCCCAAGCCGGAGGAAATTCCTAAGCCTCATATGGGCTTCTGGACCAAGCAGCAGGTAATTAATTTTTTTTTTCTAAATTAATTTTTTTATTTAATTAATTTTTATTTTCTAAATTAATTTTTATATTAAGTTAATTTTTTTCTGAAATTAATTTTGTTTATTGAATTAATTTTGTTAATTAAATTAATTTTTTTATTAAATTAACTTTTATATTAAATTAAATTTTTCTTAAATTAATTTTTTTATTATGTTAATTTTTGTATTACCTAAATTAATTTTTTTTTAAATTAATTTTATTTCAATTTACTAGTTTAAATCCGCCGTTCATCTTACGGCATTAAATAAATAATATTTATTTTAATGATAATTAATTTTTGTCAGGTCAACATGCCCGCTAAAGCCCAGGAGAAGTCTTTATCCGATCGCGAGGACGACCGCGAGCGAGATCGTGATCGCGATCGTGACCGCGATCGCAAATATGACCACAAAGACGACCGCGACAGGAAGTATGATCGCAGAGACCACGGCAGGTACGACAGCTACGACAGGCGAGGTCGTGGAGGCCGGGAACGCGATAGAGAAAGAGACAGAGACCGCGATCGCGATTATTATGACGATAGGAACGACAGGAGGAAAGACAGGCGCCCTGATGACTCTCCTAGGCGCTGGAGAGACAGTCCCAAGAGAGGCTATGATAAGTACAAGCCTAGAGATGAAGACTCTAATGATGAAAAGTACGATAAAAAAACTGCGGACGCGAAGAAGAAACTGCCCCCGAAAAAGCCCCCGACGTCGAACCCGGGAAAAGGAAAGCTACCTTTTATTGGAAGACTTCCACTTTTTAAGAAGAAAGAGGAGAATAAGCCCGAGAAAGATATCACACCGCTGCCTTATACTACCAGCAAGTTCGAAGATACTCCTAAGGTACCTAATGAGATTATTAATCCTCCTGGGGTCGTGCATATTACTAAGCTAGCTGGGCCTGTTATTAGTAATAATGTTCCGGTTAGTAAACCCGCGATGAAGATTCTTGTTGCTCCACCACCGCCAGTTCTCAATGCGCCTAAAACTGCGGCTAATCCGCCACAGGTAAGATTTTTTGTTTAAAAAAATTGAATTTTTTTAAAGATTTTTATTTTTTTTTAATTGTGAAAAAATTGGAGTTAATTTTTTTATTTAAATTGAGGAATTTAATTTTGTTATCTATATATCTATTATAGAGACATAATTAAGAAATGAACTTGTATCTTGTGAACTATTGACATTTTTAAAGATATAAGCTCATCCCGATGTTACACTCATTGAGACCTTTCATTTGAGTACCCACATCAATTTTTCATATATTTATATATATTATATGTATGTATATATGAACAATATATCAAAAATGCCATGTGGGTATTCAAATGAAAGGTCTTGATGACTGTAACATCGGAATTAGTATATATCTTAAAAAATGTCAATAATTAAGAAATGACGTTGTATCTCGTCAACTATTAACATTTTTAAAGATATAAGCTCTTTTCGATGTTACACTCAACGAGACCTTTCATTTAAGTACCCACATCAATTTTTCATATATTTTATATATTTATATATTTATATATATGTATATATGAAAAATATATCAAAAATACATGTGGGTACTCAAATGAAAGCTCTTGATAAGTGTATCATCATGATGAGCTTATATCTTTAAAAATGTCAATATTTGAGAAAGTACTTGTCATTTTTTCATATTTTAAATGTTTCGCTTAAAATAATAATAATAGCATGTATAATACAAAATTATTATTTTTTAATTAAATTATTATTCTGCATAAAAAATCATACAAAAAAAATTCATAAGGACCTTTTTATAAAAAATTTAATTTCCTAAAAAAAAAAAGTCTTATATATTTTCAATAATTCTCCCAAAATAATAATAAAATTAATAAAAAAAAATTCTAATTTAAATTATTAAAAAAAAATAAATTTTCCAGGTAGTAGACATGGAAATAGAAGACCAGCTAGAAGAAACGATAATCGAGGACACAACCAACGACACCTCAAAGCCAACGACGACCTCATCAAAGCCAACCCCAGCATCAACTGCCATAACAACCGCGTACAGCCAGCCTCCACCGTTCATGACGAGTAACGCAGCTTACGGTCCGGGGCAGCAGTTTCCAGTCCGACCACCAGTGATGCCGACGACGATGCCGACGTACGCGCACCCTCCACCCATGCAGACGGCGTACGTAGCCCCTCAAGCCATGCCAATGATGCCCATGGAGCCGCCGATGGTGGTCGAGGGCGTCCCAGCGGAGCCCGAGACCGACAAGCGCGCCGAAGGGCCGCTGCCTGAGGACCTCCAGGAAGCTCTCAACATTATTTTCCCCAAAGACGAGGTCGAGGCTCGAAAAGACCTTCAGGCCGACAACCATATCATGTACGCCTCTATGTACAGCAGCATGATCGGGTGCGTCGGGTACGGTCCTGAGTACATGGACCAGCCTCCCCCCGAGATCACCCAGGCCGAGACCGAGACCGAGGCCCAGCCGGGGCCCGATGACCTCAAGATGCTCGGGATCGACGAGGGTGACACTATTTTTTAATTTTACTCTTTTGATTTTACGCAAGTACTTTTGCGCAGTTCAACTTAATTTTTCTTTAAAATTTTGTAATAATTATAATAATAATAATAATAATAATAATAATAATAATAGCTATTATTATCAATGTTTGGATATGAGAAATCTGTTCAGATATTATTAATGTTAATTAGTATAAATTAAACACTCCATTTTAAATAAATATTATGTAATGTAATAAATTTAAATTAAACATTTTTTTTTGTTTAATACTTTATTTAGTTAAAAAAAATTTTTTTTTTTGTAGGAAATCTTTACATTTTTAAAGATATAAGCTCACCATGATATTACACTTGTCGAGAGCTTTCATTTGAGTACCCACATGCATTTTTAATATATATTTTTCATATATATATATATATATATATATATA